ATTAGGTGCGTTCGACTTGAAGCACCGCTACAGACGGCAGTCAACGAGAGTAGCCGCTTGCAGTCGGGGGCGGAATTGAAAGCAGAGACGTCAAGTCGGACACTTTCCGCTCCCGCTAGTGACGCTCTCGCAGTGTTTGCATACTCTATCACAGATGAAGTGAATAACATGCAATATTTGTCAAATACACAGACGTTTCGGAAACGTTTTCATGAGCAACAGAAACACTTTTTATATACTGCTTAATACAGCGCCATCTGTTCAAGAATCAAGTTCAACATAAACATATACTATTTAAATACCAATAAAGTGGGGGTATATATGCTTTTATCAGTGTTTTTTTGATAAACGTGACTCAATATAACATTGCGACTACTGTAAAAAAGCTTTTACTGTTCTAAAAACACTGATTTGTGAGCAGTACTGGAATTGAAGATGTTAGAATAAACCCGAAACACACGTCACCGTTGTCATGTGGTGAATTTGGCCAATCGTGAAACAGCTGTCATCATCAGCGCTCCTGCAGTCGCTAGGGTTGGGTATCGTTTGGGTTTTTTTCGATACCGGTGCCAAATCGATACTTTTAAAAATAAATAAATAAATAAAATAAACATTTTGAACGGTGCATGTGTAATATGTTAATAACAATACCTTTAAAAATACATTTCCCGTTTACCTCTTAAATGTTGCGTATTTACTTTTGTTAATTTAATATTTATTGCTAAACAATTTTACAAAACCACACAAATAATGGTTTAAACTCTATTTAGATCACGTATTGTTTACCAAATTTTGATAGCAGGGTTGCAAAGAAATGCAGGCCTCATAAACATAAATGTAAAATAAAACTGATAACCTCCCGAGGCTGACATTTTCTGAAGGTTAAGAACCTCATTTCAACTCTTGTTAAAAAAGAAAAACTTGCCTCCAAATCATAAATACAGCGAGAGATGGTTAGCATGCTTGAAACTGATTTGAGTTTAGGCGTTGTGAGCTCAACTGTACAGACCCCCCTCAGGGTCAGTGAGGCTGGAGTGTATTATGTCTGTTTCATTCATACTGGACGCCAGAGGGCGCCCTCGCATGGAAAATCCACATATCCAGTCACAGAAGTAACGGAACTCATGACTCTCCAGGAAATCTCGCTATTATAGCTGTAACTGAGTAAACAGAACATATAAACGTTTTGAATGATAAAACAAAGACAATAAACACTCGACTGCGACAATATAGTTTATCTGTGTTATTCAAGCCATCTCTGGTATTTTCGTAATTCAGTATATTTATAATCCACTGCTAATCGATGTATTCTTTTTAAAGTAGCCTATGGAACATATTTTCTGCCTCATTCTGTGACAAGAAGCCACATCACATCACAAAAGGAAGCATTTGACTGGTCTTGTGGAGTAAAAAGGTTATAATGTTCTCTTTTGTTGGACAACAGGTTTAGAAATGTGAATACAAGGGAAGTTTAGCTTTAGGCATTTTAATTTAAAGGGGTCATATGACGTTGCTAAAAAGAACATTATGTTGTGTATTCCGTTTCGGAGAACCAGAGAACAAATATTTCAATCGATCGCTCAGGCATGGCACCGAAATGAGGCACCGAAATCTGCGTTCTGATTCAGTTCTAGTACATACCGGTTACATAGTACCGGTGCCATATTGGTACCGGGTTTCGGTACCCAACCCTAGCAGTCGCTCTGAAAAAGCTGCGCCGGCTGAGTCAGCCAGCTGCTCTCGAAACGCTCTTGCAGTACTTTTGTCAAGTCGGACAAAATTTCTAACCGCCATGCACTGCTTCATGTCAGATTTTGATCGATCTGCGCAGCGCTGCGCTAAGTCGAACACACCTATTGGCTTTATGTCATGTGACCTACAGGAGCCTGTCACATGCTTAGTTGGTGTCAATAACAGAAATGCTCACTCTCATTAAATCACAATAATTGCTTAATAAAAAAAAATAAAGAGTAAAAAATAAAAAATAATAAAATAATGTAGCATGAGATTTTAGACACAATGTTTCAGACATAATAAAATTAGGTTTGCAACGAGGCAGAAAATTTCCAGAATTTTTGGGAAATTTTCGAAAATTTTGGAAAGGTTCTGGAAATTTACCGGAAATTTTCCTCCTTTTGCAAACCTAAGTAACAAAAATATATATATATTTTAAAACAACTGCTTTTGCTTTCATTCCTTCTGTTCTAATAGAGATCAAAAACAGTGAAAAAAAAGAAAGTGACATCTTAAAATTTGGGTTTTTGCTATATGACCTGCTGGAGTCTCTGCACTGACCTGTCTCTGTAACTGAGGCTGCATCATAGGATACGGTTGCCCGTTGAGTCGGGGCTGTGCCGAAGGCATGCGATTCTGCGTTGATACCATGCGCAGGTGATGAGGTGGGTACATGTGGGAGGAGCCATTAACCCCACCCCTCTGGAGGGCCTGCATACTAATGAGCCTTGGTGGCTGAAAAGAGAGACAGAGGAAGAAATGACAACCTGGTCCTGGAACAAATCATACAATCAGGAATAAACAAACTGTAATAAACAGCACATCTATACTGGTCTACCAGCTAGACCAGAATAAACCAGACATGCATGGAAAGCAGAAAAGATCTAATCTCTTAACGTACCGGTTGCTGTATACCAGTTATCTGTGGTGGACCTCCTTGTCTGGGATGCTGGGACATCTGTGAGGCGATGCGCATCTGCTGCTGAATTTGTTGCTGATGTTGTTGTTGTTGTTGTTGCTGCTGCTGCTGTTGTTGTTGTTGTTGTTGGTGGTGCTGGTGCTTCTGAGCAATTGCAGCCTGCTGCATGTGCTGCAACCTCAGCTGGGCCAGGTTGATCTGTCCTGAGTGCTTACCTGGGTGGTTGTGACTGGGAGAGATCTGCTGATTGACCATCATTTGGGGAGGAGCAGTATGTGACACTTTTTCAATAACCAGATTGCCTGGACAAAAAAGGAAAGGCGGCATCAATGCATCTGAAAGCATATAAATGCCTGTTTACACCAAGTCTAAATTCACGCCACGCTCTGAGAAAGTTAAACAACAAAATAAAATAAAATAAAAAATAAAAATACTGTAGTATGATAATTCAGAAGAAAATTATTAATTTTATGCAAAATGATGCAGTATGCTTTTTTTATACTATTAATACTACTAAATGTTTAATTTTATAAAATTATATATAAACATATAATAAAATACTATATTATATTTTTATATGCTTGATTTTATAAGATAAAATACTTTAGTATAAAATGACAAAATGCTAAATTTTAACATTTATAAACATCAAAATGCAATAAAATAAAATCAGCCACGGTATGATTTTTCAGACACAATGTTTTTATTTAAAAAAAAAAATTAAATACAAAATAAAATACTGTAGTATATTTCAGATGAGCTTAATTAAAATAAACAATAAAATAAAAATTTTAAAATAAATAAAATAAATAATATACTGTAGTTTGATATTTCAGCCACAATGTAATAAAATAAAATAATAAAATTAATTGTAATATTATATTTCAGAAACTATGTTTAATTTTAAAATCTAGTTATGCATGTTTACTGCATCAAAATTTAAACTTGGTGCGAAAGGGCCTTTAGTCTCAGTGTGCTATAAAAACAGATTTCAGCTGCAAATTTAGTCAGTGTTGAGTCAATACCGAGGTTAACCACATTCTTGGCCCAGAAGGTGGGGTCGCAGAAGAAGCGGACTGCTCCGTTACTTTGAGGTACTGGGTCCACACGGGCCTTCATAATGAAACGCAGCTGGTATGTGATCTACAGTGTTGAGAAAGTCCAAACAAAGCAAATGAAAAAAGACACAAAGGAGAGAAGAGTCTATAATTGCAATTCTGTTTGTCATTTAAAAAACTGATTTCAGCAAGGTCCAGACCCTGATTATACAACATCCTTTAAAAGTAAGGAAGCGATTTTGTTTGAAATATAATTGGCATCTCCAAAGACAGAACTGTTATTGTTGGAAGGTGTAGTGCCAATACAAATTCAGTGTTTCCCATACATTGATTTATTTGTGGCGGCCCGCCACAATATCAACACTGACCACCACAAATAGATTTTCCAAAATGCATTGACATCGTTGAATAAACATGAGCTCTGCACGTTTCAAAGTCAAAACGCAGCGCGGGTGTTTGTATATTAATGTATCTTTAGAAAAGTTTCAATGTCATTTTCATTTAAACTTTTCTATAATGCCTGAAAAAGCAGCGTTTATGAGCGGAGCACTGCTTTGTTTACAGCCGTTACCGGGGAAACCGCTGTATTTCTGACGCTCCTAAAGCGCCTCCTGCTGGCAGAGAATGAATTTGCATTTTCAATCAGCTGCGTCTGCTGATTTATATAGCCTATATTTCCCCCGGGGGAAGTGCTGCCACACACTGAGTGCAAGTCTGTGGGAAACACTGAAATTACACATTTGCAAAAACAGAACCTAAAAGAAAAGTAAACAGGTGTTTTTGTGAGAGAAATAAGCATTGCGGCTGACCAGTCTCTTGCTGTAGAGCAGGGCTGTGCTGCTTCCATTGCTGATGGCCCAGTTGGTGAAGTTGAGCACATGGATGACCTGCTGGGCCAGGATGCTGATGTCCCTCTGTTGGCTGAGCAGCTTCATACTCCTCTCTTTGGTCACACTCTTTACATGGTGACAGAGGGAATAAAGAGGGAAGAGAAGAATATTATGAATGACCGAAATGAAACAAATTCTGGTCCTAAAAATTATGAACTTGCTAATGCCAAACCAGGAACCATTAACGTCACATGCAGAGAAGCAGGATAATGTGATCAGTTTCCAGAACAACAAAAACTAGACTAGTGCAAAACAAAACTGGATAAAACACAACCAAATCACCAGTGTTATTTTAGTATTGTTTTTTTATTATTAAAGTATTTATAATTGGCTTTTTTTATATTTTCCATTTTCATTTTAGTTTAAGTTTTAGTAATTATGTTACGCACTTTTGTCATTTTTAGATTGTTTTACTTAATTCCTTTTATCTTAAATTTGTTTTTATTTCAGTTTTTGCTTAAGTACTTATAACTTATTTAGTCCCAAAGCAAGTTTTAATTTTTTCAAGTGTTTTGAAAAGTTTGTCAACTAATATTTATATTTTGTAACAGCTTTATTTTGTTTACTGAAAATGATTTTAATAGTTTTAGTTTCCAACAACACTGAAATGTACAATGTGGTAATATGACAGACATTCAGATGTACATCCTGTTTCCGTGTATGTCAAGTTGCACACTTTATTTTCACAGTTTATACTCCATCCATCTTAAACAAAATCTAAAAATGAAGAATTTTATTCATTGTAGCACCTCGCCAGTACATCAAAACAGGGAAGTCGTGGCCTAATGGTTAGAGAGTCGGACTCATAACCTAAAGGTTGCGGGTTCGAATCTCGTACCGGCAGGGATTGTCGGTGGGGGGAGTGAGTGTACAGCGCTCTCTCCCACCTTCAATACCACGACTGAGGTGCCCTTGAGCAAGGCACCGAACCCCCAACTGCTCCCCGGGCGCCGCAGCATAAATGGCTGCCCACTGCTCCGGGTGTGTGTTCACGGTGTGTGTGTGTTCACTGCTGTGTGTGTGCACTTTGGATGGGTTAAATGCAGAGCACTAATTCCGAGTATGGGTCACCATACTTGGCCACATGTCACGTCACTTTTTAAAGTAGCCTGTTATGTCACTGTTCTGCTCTCAGGTCAGTGGAAATTAAATGTGGGCAGTTTCAGACGTCTGGAGTCAGAAGACAATCCACATGAAATCTGTTCACAAGCCGTCACAAATGACACATGTTTTTACCAGGTATCTGTCTCTGCTGACCACTTGTGATCAGATCACCAGAGATGGGCGTTAACATCAGTAGGGCCCTTTGATTTCCACGATGTGGAAAACGCGGACAGAATCGCGGAATCTATTTATAACAATGGAATTTACTGTACAACACGGAATGTCACGGAATTTGCCAAATTTGGGTTGAATAAATCAAAAGTAGGTCAGTACACTTAAATCAAAAACACAATATGGACTAGTGTCTCTGAATATTAAGCCGCAAAAATACTATTTAAATATGAATCCTGCATGTTCTGCGTGTCTGTGTGAATGAATGGCGCAGATGCATGATTTCATTTACTACACACATACTGAAGCGAGCGTGACCCTCGCAGTTTTTTTAGCCTCTGCCGCTTCAAAATATGAGTACATGAACACAATCTCCAGAGTTGCTCTAAGAGTCACTTCATGAGCATTTTACCATTTCTTTTGAGAAAACTATTGTCATATCATATACAAACAGAAACTTAAAGGTCTTCACAGCAATCCAGTTGCCACAGTTCAGTTTAAATTGAAGAAACTGTGACAGAAACATACTACTTAATGTAATGATAGTACTTTCTGCTACTACCACTAATAAAATTATTATTAAAACATTATTTTTTAAGGAATATTTAACAGAAAATGTATTTACCAGAATTTATTAACCAGAAAAATATAAATACACAACGCAGCATTACTGAAAAAAAAGAAAACAATAAAATTATAATATATTTTTTTAATAAAACCAATTTATTAAAGATGCTTTTGATTATTATCATAATTTAATGAAACCTTTAAAATGGAATCTTAAATGAAAATTAATGGAAAACACAGAATTTGAGAAAAAAATAAAACTTATTCCAAAGGGCCTTAAAAATGGAATTTTTTGATAAACTTTTAATACATTTCTGTTAAATTGTGTAAGTTTCATGATTTCAATTAATTAGACATGCTTTTTGATTCATATTTTTAATTTAACCATTAAAACAGAGTCTAGAAAAATGAAAACGGAATCTAGAAAAATTAAAACAGTAAAAAAAAAATAGAATTTGGTTGTTGTTGGGGGGTTAAGAAAAAAATTAAACAGATTTCATAGGGCCCTACATCAGGCGTAAACATGGACTCTTGCTTAAAGTTTCACCACACTTGAATGGCTTCATCAGTCATGAGATGAGAACAGTGAAGCCTCCCTGAAAATTTTACATCAAACACTGTGACATCTGCGGGACTCGATTCATCACTGACTGGTGTGAATTGCAGTAAAAGGTGCCAATTGGGGCTAAATTGGGTTGAGCCCTGAAGGACAGCGTTGTAGGTATCTAACAAACAGCACTTCCCCTTTCAGCAATCTATTTGCTGCATTTTCACATTTGGCCTCTCTCAAACCATCTGTCTTCTGTGTCCCAACTCTTCCTTGAACATGTCATTCTTGTCCTTCAGATGTCGATACATTGTTGAATCGCACTCGGAGGGGTTCATACTTCTGTCCTGCATCATCCATTTCTGAACTCATGTCCTTTTGTTCATACCCTAGCAGTTTTGCTCCAATTCACACCTTCAGTAAAGCTTCCCCCAAAGCAATTTGCAAGATCTATGGCATGTGATAAGATTCACACAAGGTGGTTGCTAGAAAAACACAATGACCTTGTTTGCATTAGGTATTACATGCATCGCAGGTGATCCAGTCACAAATGATCAGCTGAGACAAATCACTGTTTACATATAGAATTACCATATAGCTCCAATGCATCACCTGCGACCACTCAGGATCAGATTTCATCTCTCAATACATGCATCATTTAATTAACCAAGTGTGTTACCGTGTGTTAAATATGCATAAACCACAAACATGACAACTTGAAAGCTTGTTGTTATTTTTAGTCACACAGCTTTATCAACAAAAATTTTTATATACTTGCATCACATGATCTACATTAATTCAGCAGATGCTTTCATCTAAACTGAATTATCTGTGCCTCTGCATAAATGGCTTTTCAAATTTTCCTTTTTAAATAGGTAGTTGTTTTGTTTAAAGCTGTAACGAGTCCTAAGTTTAAAACCCATGTTTTATTATAAAGATTGATCGACTGCTATTTTTATTTCATGTCATTTGATCCGGTTGTCAAGCGCATTATGATGAAAAAGCATTTGCATTACAAATGAGATGAAAAAAATATGTGTGTGCATAATCAGCCACCATTTTCTCAGTTATTTGTTATATATCCTAGCTGTCAGTACAAACATCTTTAAACTGGAATTTCAGATTTGTTGCTTTAGGAAATCAAGTAGTTGTGGCTTCTAGATGCCTGTACACTTACCTCCAACTGCTGCAGTAGAGATTTGCCTTTCTTGTTGATTTCATTGATGAGTGTAAAGACTGCTATTTTTATTTCATGTTCCACCTTCTTATGCGTCTCAGCAACTTCTTTCATCCTAAAGGGGAAAAAGGGAACAAAATACATTTAAAAGGCTCATAAAAAAAGTGCTTTGAAAATAAGCATTCAATCACGTCCAGCCACATTTCTTTAATACATAAAACAAGATCTAGATATTTCATCACATAAAACTGATGGTAAAAATGCAACAGATGTCCTACCTGTTTTGCACCTGAGATGCAGAAAACTCCACAAAGTTTCTCTTCTCTTGCAACTTAGTCATAAATGTCTCAATGATGCCTTTCTGGTTTTGAAAGGCTTCTTCTAGAAACTGGTACCTGCAAAAAAGAGGTGGTTAAGAGGTGAATATAATCTTGTATGGTGCTTTTATGTTTTTCTGTCTGTTTTTGTTCTAGGTCTCTCTTCATTTAATTTTCTTGCTCAAAAACGCTTTCATACATTGCAAGAAGATTTTTAATACAGATGAAGATGATGATGGTGTGTGGTTACTGTAAACACTGTGGTCCGCCTGACCTGTGTTCTTTGTGTTCAAGTAGCTGGCAGTCTCTGCAGGTTAGAGTGTCACATGTCTCACAGAAGAGCTTGAGGGCCTCTTGTTTGTGTACTGGACAGAAGACAGGTCTCTGGCCTGATGTCCCAACCGATTCTGCAAGAACCACCAAAGTCAAATTCATCTTTTGCTGCTTCATTCTTCCACCCCACCCTCAATTCTCTCAGTCTATGACCGCCATATGTTCTCATATGCCTCTTGCCAAACTCAATCAAAATGAGGGAAACTAAGTGGGTTAGCTTTAATGAAAACAGTACAGGCTGAGCGAGCGACTCACTCAAAACTCTGCCTGTTGCCATAGCAACTGTACAACGATTCAGTCTGCTTAATGTGCAAAACAGACACAACATAGCATTGCTGAAAAATTCAAACTACAACAAGACCACTAGACCAAAGCTGAATCTTTTAGCGTAACGAAAAAAAATCATATCACAACTGCCTTGCAAATAGAAGCAATTGAAAATGGAAAAGAATTAGCTCCTAGCACATACCAGAAGATACTTCCTCTTTTTTGCGTATTTTATGGTCCTTAGTGAATTTGACCCGTTGATGTGCTTCAATGCAGGTTTTACAGAGCCACTCCCCACATTCAATGCAGAATCCAATAGCACTGGCATTATCTTCACAGCTGGTGCAAACCTGTTACAAAGCAAATAAAGGATGACATAGCTTAAACTAATGTCTAGAAGACTGAATTATTGACTCAGATGCAAACTGTTGAACGATTGCATGCAAGATAATAAAGCAAAATTTAATCTAGGGGTGTGAATTAGAGGTCTTCACGGGTCCACTTGGATTCGAAAACCCGAGGTCCGACCCGAGCGGGTTCGGGTCCAAAACTTC